GCATGTTTATATTGTAGTCTATGGCATGCTTCATTATACATATTATCTTGCTCTCACTACATTGTTTTCTACTTTTGCAAGACCTATCGTGGCTGATAACGTCGAAAAGCAGTTCTGATTCCTGAAATCCTAATCCTGTTGCATTGTTTATTGGATCACTCACACTCTTTGTGTATTCATGCGCTTGAGAAGCAAAGCACAGAACGGCCAACAAGGGCCATTAGACCGTCCATGGGACCGTGGTCACAACTTCTCAGACTGAATTTTAAATGACAGAGGAGAAACGCCTCCCACAGAGCTTTGAGCATATTCAGACTGCAGCCGAAATGAAATCAATCAGGCCAAATGAACACAGAAATCATCTGGACCGCATTTTATCGGACCTCAAGAGCTGCATGCACATGGGAAGGATTAAGAACATAAGAACATAAGAACATCAGAAGAGTCCTGATGGATCAGACCAGTGAGGGTCCATCTAGTCCAGCATCTCATCTCACACAGTGGCCAGCCACTTTCTCTGGAGGGTCAACAATAGGGCAGAGAGGCTGAGGCCTTCCCCTGATCAGAACATCAGAAGAGCCCTGCATTCCCAGGCCCCCCGGGGGGGGGGGGGAAACCCCCGCCCCAGAGGCCCATTACCCGCCACCAGCGGATCGGGCCCCGGGGCGAATCCCACCCCCAAAGCACACGACGTGCCCGACGACAGCACGTCACCCGGAAGTGACGCAGTCGCGTCAGGCGCATTGGGGGCAGGGCCACAGTCATCTGAGGGAAAACCCTACGGTTTTCTGGGTGACGTGGCTGCGGCGAGCGCATGCTTTGCGTGTGTGCACTCCCGGAGCGGTGCTGGAGTCCCCCGCTGTACATACAGCGGGGACTTGGCAACCCTAGCCCTGCAGGCTCAGACCATTAGTCCATCTAGTCCAGCCTCCTGCCTCACACAGGGGCCAACCAGTTCCTCTGGAGGGCCAACAACAGGGCAGAGAGGCCGAGGTCTTTTCCTGGTAAAAACCTCAGAAGAGCCCTGCTGGGTCAGACCAGTGAGGGTCCCTCTAGCCAAGCATCCCACCTCACACAGTGGCCAGGCAATTCCTCTGGAGGGCCAACAACAGGGCAGAGAGGTCGAGGCCTTCATAAGACCGTAAGTAGAGCCCTGCTGGATCAGATCAGTGGTCCACCTAGTCCAGCATCCTGTCTCACACAGAGGCCAACCAGTTCCTCTCGAGGGCCAACAACAGGGCCTAAGAGGCTGAGGCCTTCCCCTGAGGTTGCCTCCTGGCTCTGGGATTCGGAAGCTTTAGGGCCTCTGAACGTGGAGGTTCCCCTCAGTCACCATGGCTAGCAGGCATTGGTAGACTTATCCTCCATGAATCTTTTTAATCCCCTTTTGAAGCTGTTTATTCCTGTGGCCATGGCTACATCCTCTGGCAACGAATTTCCACATTTTTAGTCACTCTCTGTTTTGCATTTATCCCTCCTGAGAAGAATTTCAGAGGCACGACCACGGTCAACAGAGCTTCCACACAGGAGTTTTGTGCACACTCTCCTAGGTCCGCCACCATCTCCCTCACCTTTCATTTCCATGCGGCACCTCCGAGAGGCTTTTGATATATATATATTTTTAAATTAGCCATTATTATAGTGCTATGTCAATTACCAACACTAAAGAAGCATCCAAATCCCAGAATGCCGTTTGATAATGCAGTGGGGGGAAAACAGCATCGGGGCAATTAATGGAAGGTAAATGGCACTGACACAAGCGGTACCTTTGAAAAGGTATACTCTCCCATTGACATCCCATGGCAAAGCCCTGAGACCAGGGGTCCCCTAGCTTTTTGACCCTGTAGGCTCCTTCGGAATTCTGTCACAGCATGGTGGGCGGAGCCAAAGAAACGGCTTCCATAAAATGGCTGCCACAAAAAGCGGAGCCACCGAGCCAGCCACAAAATGGGTGCCACTTTCAGTCACACAGTGATTATTCTTGTGCTGTAGAGACAGCCGCCGCCAAAACAATGTTTTTAGAATCTGCACTGACAATCAACTTTCCAGCAGCCGTCAGAAGCATTGCTGGGCAAGAGGCAGGCTCCAGGAAAGAAGAAAAGAAGGAGAAGAGATTGGATTTATACAAAGGGATCATTTCCTGCAGGAGCGCACAGGAGCAGTAAAGAGCTCAGGGGGCGGGCACATGCAACAAGCCCCACCCCCTGCTCCCAGCAGCCCTCAGTCAGAGCAAGAAGCAGCCAGGTACATTGCAGAGCCCCCCCAGCCCAAAACAGTCCAGTGGCACCTTTAAGACCAAGTTTTATTCAGTCACAAGCTCTCCCTCCTCTGTGAGGACAGATCTGCATGTCCCCCCCCCCACAATAGCCAGCAATCCAAAACAGTCCAGTGGCGCCTGAGTGGTGGGTGTTGCCTTCTGACACACTTCCAGTGATGTCAGGATGTGGCATATGCAAGTAAGTCATGCTAATGAGTTATGCTAATGAGCTCCTGCACCTCTTTTTCTGCTAAATGACCACTGTTTATACCCCACCCTTCACTCGGAGTCTCAGAGCAGCTTACAAACTCCTTTCCTTTCCCCTCCCCACAACAGACGCCCTATGAGGTAGGTGGGGCTGAGAGAGCTCTGACTGAGAACTGCTCTTGAGAGAACAGCTCTGAGAGAGCTTGTGGCTGACCCAAGGTCACCCAGCTGACTGCATGTGAAGGAGGAGTGGGGAATCAAACCCGGTTCTCCCAGATTAGAGTTTGTGTTCTTAACCACTACCTCAAACTGGCCACAGTGCCCACGGTTACCCAGCTCCAACTATAGTAAAGGTAAAGGTTTCTCTTGCTGGAAAGCCAGTCGAATCCGACTCTGGGGGCGGTGCTCATCTCCATTTCCAAGCCGAAGAGCCAGCACTGTCCAAAGACATTTCCGTGGTCATGTGGCTGGCATGACACATGGAACGCTGTTACCTTCCCACCAAAGTAGTACCTATTTATGTACTTGCAGTTCGCAAACGACCAGAAGAACTTCCCTCTTAAAACCATGAGAGCTGAAAACTTTGCTTAATGAAAAACTGTTTCAAAATGTCAATCTGGACAGCTCAAGGTTGCTTGAACAGAAAAATTCACAGTGGAAACACAGCAGGATACAGGGAGGAAGATATATTGAACAGATTCGAGTTGCGTGAAATATAATTTGCGTTATTTCTCTGCTTTTTTTGTACCCAATCACCAGCTTCAGGAAATCACAGCTACCCAGTTATCCTTTCCCGCACCCATACTTTGAAGGATCTGTTCCACCAACCCTCGTTATACATTCTGTTATATATAAAAAAAAGAGAAAAAAAAAAATGGGGGGGGGGGGGAGATAGAATTTCTAACTATACCTAGAAATTCCTAAGATTTGTGCCAACGCAACTGGGCACAGCGTTCTTTTTCATTCACCGATTTCCAGCATCAAGACTACCACCGGGAAAGAAACTGCCTAGCGTAAGACCTACAGTTGCCAACTTCTGCTTGGGAAATTCCTGGGGATTTGGGGGTGGAGCCGGGGGAGGGCAGGGCTTGGGGAGGGGAGGGACCTCAGCAGGGTATAATGCCCTACAATCCACCCTCCAAGGCTGACATTCAGGGGGACTGTTTTGGGTACTCTGGAGCTCAGTTAGTAATCCAGGGGGACTCCAGGCTCTGCCTGGAGGTTGGCAAACCCTATTTTCTCAAATGACTTGACTCCGCCGTCACCGACCGTGAGGGAATAGAGTCCACAGAACGATGTTGACTTGCCCAGTGAATTCTTTAGGAACCAGTCATGGAAATACTATTCTCATGAGTGGTATTTTCATTTTAATAATGCATCAGCACGTTTTGTTCTGGGTCGAAATAACCTCGGCGGGGCTTCAGTGCGGAGGCTGCAAGCACGGGATGGAGAGCAGCCAGCCTTAAATTTCACAGGGAGGGAGAAAAAGGGGATCCTCAGATCTGAGCGCGTGGGTGGAGCTGTCTACGGAGACACGCCCCTGTGTTGCACGTCGGAATGCAGGACCTAACTTCGGCTCCCGACACATGTCTGTTTAAGGAAGAGTATCAAAATGTGCGGGCTGCGGTGGCTCAAGTGGTTAAGACGCTGAACTGCAGACTGGAAGGTCGGTAGTTCAGCAGTTCGAGACCCGAGTGCCACGTGGCGGAGTGAGCTCCCATCTCTGGCCCCAGCTCCTGCCAACCGAGCAGTTCAAAAGCAAGAAATTGCAAGTAGATAAATAGGTACCATGCGCCTCAGAGTCTAGTCATGCTGGCCACATGACGATGGAAACGTCTTTGGACAGCGCTGGCTCTTCGGCTTGGAAACGGTGATGAGCACCGCGACCCATCTGATCATGCCGGGGAGTAACTGCGCGGCGGCTCACAGGATCTGTATGATCCCACCGCTGTGTGTCTATCTTGGTGCGGCTTTCAAAAGCCGCACTTTGCCCGCGCTCCCCCCCCCCCGTGTGGCAGGGACCAAAGTGGTGTTATCAGCTGTTTAGGAGCTGCGGTGGCTCAAGTGGTTAAGACGCTGAACTGCAGGCTGTGGAAGGTCAGTAGTTCAGCAGTTCAAGACCCGGGTGCCGCATGATGGAGTGAGCTCCCGTCTCTGGCCTCAGCTCCTGCCAACCTAGCAGTTCGAAAGCAAGAAATTGCAAGTAGATAAATAGGTACCGCTTCAGTGGGAAGGTCACAGCGTTCCATGCGCCTTGGCATCTAGTCATGCCGGCCACATGACCACAGAAACGTCTTCGGACAGCGCTGGCTCTTCGGCTTGGAAACAGTGATGTGCACCGTGACCCTAGTGTCAGATTCGACTGGCTTTCAAGCAAGGGAAACCTTTAACCTTTACCTATCAAAATGTGGAGGTGGAGGCTAAGGTGCAGACCACCCTGACTGGAAACATTCCCCCCTCCAAAAAAAATCCTTCCCTTAGGAAATCCTCTTCTAAACATATATTTGCAAAACAATAAATAAATGCAGATATCTACCTTACTATAATCCACATTACCCAGTCCTCCACAGCAGTCCAGAGAATGTGGCGGCTGATACATTCACACGTGCAGATTAATAATACTAAATTTAAAAATGGGCTGTTCCCCAAATTTAAAGGGGAGGGGGTGGAATAGCGACCCCCGCCCCCCCACCTTCTCCCCACCCCCTGGCTGGCGTAATGCAACTTGCATACAGCAAACAGCAAATGCCACTTCCGGATTACTTCTCGGAGCAAAGGCTGTGTGCAGGCATGCTGGGAAATGTAGTCCATTAGACCCTTTTCTTTTTCAGTGCTTGCAGTGGTCTAGAAAGGCGAACTGCAAGGTCCGGACGACAACGAGAGGGTTAATTCGTTGAGTTGGAAACCCACCCCACCCCAAAAAAAGAGCCCTGTTTAGAAACGGATCGCCCCTGGGAGAAGCCTTTCCGCCTCTTTTCACGGCGTGCACCAGAGGGCAGTCCATTCACACGTGACGCAGGGATCCGCTTGCAGATGCGTGTTCTCAGCGTGCAAGCCTTCTTCAGCTGGGAAACTATATGCACCTGAAAACCCCGGGAGGGGAAAAGGTTTCTCTGGGTGGCTGCAAATTGTTTTGCTCGTGCCTATAAATAAAAATCCCGTGCACACGTTAAAGGGCAGCGAACCCGGGTTTTCCAGCAAGGGTCCACTTAATGGGGGATTGAAACTGGGGCTGCCAGGTCTGGAGATCAATTGTTTTAGCGGGAGATGTCCAGGCACTACCTGAAGGGTGGCAACCCTAATTTAAGCCCACCCCGACCTGAGTCGCCAACCTCCAGGTGGGGCCTGGAGTTCTCCCGGAATTACAGTTTATCTCCAGATTAGAGAAGAATGGCAGATTCTATGGTATATAATAGATTCTAGGTGAAATCCACTCCAAAACCTCCAGGAATTTCCCAAGTCAGAGTTGGCAACTGTACGCCAACTTCAGGAAACATCTGTTTGCTGTGTTTTCATTCTTTAAAAACCTTGAGTCTGGCGGTCCTTTTAAGACCCACAAAGTTTTATTCTGGGTATAAGCTTTTGTGCGCATGCAGACTTCTTCAGATACAGGGTCCTTGCGCCTGAAAGCGTAAAGGTAAAGGTAAAGGTTCCCTTGCTCGAAAGCCAGTCGAATCCAACTTTAGGATTGCGGTGCTCATCTCCATTTCAAAGCTGAAGAACCAGCTCTGGCCGAAGACGTTTCTGTTGTCATGTGGCCGACATGACTAAACACCAAGGCGCACGAAACGCTGTTACCTTCCCACCGAAGTGGTACCTATTTATCTACTTGCAATTTCTTGCTTTTAAGAACATAAGAACATAATGTTGGATCAGGCCAAAGGCCCATCCAGTCCAACACTCTGTGTCACACAGTGGCCAGAAATACCAGGAGCCATCAGGAGGTCCACCAGTGGGGCCAGGACATTAGAAGCCCTCCCACTGTTGACCCCCCCCCAAGCACCAAGAAGACAAAGCATCACTTGCCCCAGAGCCCCTATCTATACCTTGTGGCTAATAGCCACTGATGGACCTCTGCTCCATATGCTTATCTAATTCCCTTTTGAAGCCGTCCATGCCTGTAGCTGCCACCACTTCCTGTGGCAGTGAATTCCGAGTGTTAATCACTCTTTGGGTGAAGAAGTACTTCCTTTTATCTGTTCTAACCCGACCGCTCTGCAGTTTCATGGAGTGCCCACGAGTTCTTGTATTGTGAGAAAGGGAGAAAAGTACCTCTTTCTCTACCTGCTTTTGAACTGCTAGGTTGGCAGGAGCTGGAACTAGAGATGGGAGCTCACTCCGTCTTGCGGCACCCGGGTCTCAAACTGCTGAACTACTGACCTTCCACAGCCTGCAGTTCAGCGTCTTAACCACTTGAGCCACCGCAGCTCCTAACCTGAAAGCTTACACCCAGAATAAAACTTTGGGTCTTAAAAGTGCCACTGGACTCAAAGTTCGTTCTCCTGCTTCAGACCAACACAGCCGCCGACCTGCATCTACCAGCAAAGAGAGTTAGGCTTTAAAAATCAGTTTTCTGTGACAACTGACCTTTTATTATATCGCTCAGGCTTGGGAAGTTCTGGGTGGTGCGGAATCCAAGTCGCTCGCACTGCCTGGGCTGGACTTTGCACTGCACACGGGCCGGTCTCCAAAGTCAAGTGGACACCCGGTCGGAGCTTGGTACACGTTGCTGACCTTTCGGAGTTCGCGGGATACGTGCTCCATGTGTCAAGAGAGCTCTTGTGTAAGGATACGTGGGGTGCCAACCTGGTGCAGTGTTTAGAGTGGCGGACTACGACCTGGAAGGCCTGGGTTCAAATTTCCACTTTGCTGTGGAACCTCACTGGGTGACCTTTGGGGTAGGGTTGCCAGCAGTGGTCCTCCTAAGCTGTGGGGTCTTCTGAGCAAAAATCCTACTTTGGGAGCTGCTGGCATTAAAGTTGTGAGCGAGGAATTTGGCTGCTGCGTAAATTAGTTTGCTCTGGAGCCCTCCTTCCTGAGCGAAGACAAAAATCTGTGAGCTGGAGGCTAAAAAACTGTGAGCTAGCTCACACAAACTCAGCTTAAAGGGAACACTGGTTGCCAGGTCTGGGATGGAAAAGAGGCTGGCAACCTTTGGGGAGCAGTCGCACCCTCTCAGCCTAACCTACCTCACAGGGCTGTTGTGAGAATAAAATGGAGAGGGAGGAGAACAATGTGAGCCGCTTTGGGGGGGGGGAGGTGAGGTCTAAACGAAGTTAAATTCACAAATAAATGGATTTTAAAAGGCCGATACAATTCGTTAAGGATCTGCCAAACCTTACAGGCATTTCAACCGACCAATAATGAGTTTTTCAGGAGAACTGAGGAGCGGCCCGCAGACTCACTCACAGCACCACCCGAACTAGGGTTGCCAAGTCTGGGTTGAGAAATTCCTGGAGATTTTGGGAGTGGAGCCTGGAGAGCGGAGGGTTTGGTGGGGAGAAGAACTCCAGTGGGGTATAACCCTATAGAGTCCATCCTCCAAAGCGGCCTTTCTCTTCAGGGGAAGTGATCTCTGCAGGGGTCATTTCCTGCAGGAGCGCACAGGAGCGGAGCTCTGGCAGTAAAGAGCCCAGGGGGCAGGCATTTGCAACAAGCCCCACCCCCTGCTCCCAGCAGCCCTCAGTCAGAGCAAGAAGCAGCCAGGTAAGTTGCAGAGCCCCCCCCCCCCCCCCCCGCCCCCACTGCTTATATGGCTTAAAAACAAGTTGTGAGAAGCTACATGTGCAGGCCTGTAGCTATCAAGGGGCCCATGGGGACCGCCCCCCCCTGGTTTTGTGGGCCCCTCCCCCAATCCTCCGCTCCCCCCCGCCCCCCCCCCCCCAATAGCTAGCAATCCAAACGAGTCCAGTGGAGCCTGAGCGGTGGGTGTTGCCATCGGACACACTTCCGATGATGTCAGAGGGTGTGGCATATGCAAATGAGTTATGCTAATGAGCTCCTGTACCTCTTTTTCTACAAAATGACCCCTGGATCTCTGTCATCTGGAGATCAGTAGTGATTCCAAGAGGCTTCCAGGCCTCAACTGGAGGTTCGGCAATAAGCACACGGGAAAAACGGCAAGGCTGAGTAAACCTGGAAAAACCGCCGTGTTCAAACAAAACACACAGTTCTGATATGGTACTATGCCTTCATGTTCTTGTTCAGTCACACAGTTGAGTCCGACTCTTCGCAACCCCACGGACCACATCACGCCAGGCCTTCCTGTCTTCCGTCGTGCTCCGGAGTTTGCTTAATTTCATGTTCGTTGCCTCGATAACACTGTCTAACCATCTCATCCTTTGCCATCCCCTTCTTCTTTGACCTTCAATCTTTCCAGTTTGGTGTAGTGGTTAAGTGCGCGGACTCTACTCTGAGAGAACCAGGTTTGATCCCCCACTCCTCCACTTGCCCCTGCTGATGTGACCTTGGGCAAGCCATAGTTCTGGCACAGCTGTCCTTGAAAAAGAGCAGTTTCTGTCAGAGCTCTCTCAGCCCCACCTACCTCGCAGGGTGTCTGTTGTGGGGAGGGGAAGGGAAACGAGTTTGTAAGCTGCTCTGAGACACCTTTGGGTAGTGAAGGGTGGGGGAATAAATCCAATCTCTTCTCTTCTTCTTCTTTCCCAGCATCAGGGTCTTCTCCAGGGAGTGCTCCCTTCTCATTTGTGGGCCAAAGTATATGCCTTCAGATATCCGTTTAAATCATATACTTAAATAGACAATAAAGACCCTATTGTGTCTTATTAATTATAGTCCATTGAGAACAAAAACCTAACAAACAATATATATCTTGGAGAAAAGTCCATACAGCTACAAAAGATGAATATGTAGACAGGATTCAATGCTGTAGACCAGGGGTGTCGAACTCATTTGTCATGAGGGCCGGATCTGACATAAATGGGACCTTGTTGGGCCGGGCCGTGTGTGTCATAAAATGTAATGCCAGGTAGCGGAGATGTAAACTTTATAAAGGACACAAACACAAAGATTTCTATTTACTTAAAATAAAAAAAACATGCTTAAAACATTAGCTCTGTAAACTGCAAACCTACTTTTGATTTATTGACATTCACCACAGAAATCTCGTGCTCAGAGTTCTGAGTCTAGGACCCAGGTTAAAACATTAAATGGCTGAGTGATTAAGAGAGCCTGGTGAAGCAAGCTACGATGCAGCAGCAGCAGCAGCAGAACTGGAAGCAGGAGATGGGCCAGTTCCACTGCGGGCCTGATGGAAGCCCTTCAGGGGCCTGATCTGGCCCCCGGGCCGCATGTTTGACACCCCTGCCCTAGTGTATCATTAATTATAGTTCATTGACAACAGAAACCTAAAGGAGGAGGAGGAGGAGGAGGAGGAGATTGGATTTATACCCCGCCCTTCACTACCCAAGGGAGTCTCAGAGTGGCTTACAAACTCCTTTCCCTTCCCCTCCCCACGACAGACACCCTGTGAGGTAGGTAGGGCTGAGAGAGCTCTCTCAGAGACTGCTATTTTTCAAGAACAGCTCTGACAGAACTATGGCTTGCCCAAGTTCATCCAGCAGCTGCAAGTGGAGGAGTAGGGAATCAAACCCGGTTATCCCACTACACTAAACTGGCACTACAAATAAGAACAGTA